AAAAAAAAATCTTAAAAACAAATATAAATCTGTTTGAAATTTATTTTAATCACTATAGATCAATTTCTTAGAGTTCTGAGGGAAATGGTGAGTGAAAAAGAGGCAACGTAAACTGATCTTCAGGAACCTTCCATTAACTTAGAGAGGCAATGCATGAAGTGAAAGAACAGAGACCATGACCAGTCTTGGGTCTGTAATCAGCTCCAATTCCAACTCCATCCCACTGGGAAGCAGCTTATCCTATGTAACAGCGAGCGAGCAACCCAACATGGCTGGCGGGGTTCTCTACCTTCTGTGTTCACTCGGTTAACCCTCATAGTCAAACTAAGCACCTAGCATGCTGGCTGCCCAGGCAGGTGCTAGGTTAAGTGGTTCTTCTCCTCCATGTTCTGGTGGCAATTACTAAGCACCAGGTTTGCTGGTGCATTTTACTACAGAAGACCATTGTTTCAATGTGAACTTGCATTTCTTAGATTAGCAAATAGCGCCTCAAGATTGGATCTGCATTAAGCATAACACATGGAAACTAGGCTCCTTGTGAATCTGGAGGCTTCGATAGCCTTCCTGCAAGGCACAGCTCTCATTAATAAGTCAAAGAAAAGTAGTCATTTTCCATCGTGCTCATTGGCCGGGGCCTTGCCACTCCTCTCTATGTAGCAAGGAATTGATGACATTTATAGAGTCTGGAATCTACATTGATCCTGAAGCCTTGTCTGTCTTGGGTTGTTGTTTGGTTTTTTTTTTTTAATGTGATCTTAACTATCATCAGGTTTCAAATGCTGTGGTCAGAAGTCAGGTTCCATCATCAATTGTGAGGAATACTTTTGGACTTCAAAATCAAAATGGTCTGTGATTTTTATAGGCTCATGGACGAAGCACTTGTTCCATTTTCAAAACTAGAAGGCAAAGCCAGGGAACTCTACAGTAGGATAAACCAAGGACTTGTACACACACTCTAGCTTTAGCACAAGTCTTACCACACCCGTGAGGATTTACCACAAGACTAGAGACCCACTCATGGCAGAAGGGTAGAACTCAAATAGAGTTTGGAGCAGAGAACCAGAGAAAACTAACTTCTTAGCAGCTTAAGGAAGAATTCCAGAGACTGAGATGCAACCATTGCTTTCAGTAAGCTTCTAAAACTCAGCTACTCTCAACAGTGTTAAAATACAGAATAAATAAACAACACAGGGGCTGGAGGTGTGGCTCGAGTGGTAGAGCGCCTACCTAGGAAGCATGAGGCCCTGAGTTCAAACCCCAGTGCCACCAACAATAGTGATGATAATAATAAAAATAATATAAACAACACAAGAATAGTGAATCAAAAAACTTGGTATTTGTAGAGTGATGTTTATAAGAGAAGATCAAAGGGTTTCTCCACAACTGGAAACACACTAAGAACTGTGCAAGCTTCAGGCAGATGTACCTAAGTGCGCAGGATGGAGAGGAGAGTGGCTGTCTCTGACTTTTTAAGGCACGAAGCTTGTCTCCCTGGGTTATGCTGGTTGTCATCTCCACATCTTCATCATCTTCTAAATTATTCTGGAGAAAAATGCACGTTCCATAGAAAGGTCATTACAAACAGTCTTTTTAATGGGTGAGAGATTATCTGTTTATAGATACATCACATGTAAATTATCTTAGTATAGCTTATCACACGTCACTTAAACGTGTATAAATTCAACATGGTCCAGTTGCTCAACTAATTGCCATTTAAATATACTAGTCAAATTCCAAATCGAAGAAACACAGGTACGGATGTGGTAACGTGTGAAAGGAGCTGTCTATTACCACAGACCATGGCAAGGTCACTCTCAGGTGACACATCATGCTGGGGAGCACAGCCTAACTCGGACTGCTCCACAGAGACAGCCCAAATACATTTCCAGATTCTGCCAGGAGCCATCGCTGCAAATTCCATTTGATTACACAAATAAAAGATAAATATTTGGGGCAGCTACACAGTAACTTAGTAGCATCGTTACTAGGAAGAGCACTCATTTCCTGTCCAGGAAGAGGAAAAGGACCAGTGACACTAAATTGGGAAGGTGTGTTTCCTTCTGAAATAAGTTTTATTAGTGTGGAAACCACAAGTGCCCTGTTAGTTTCCTGCACACCAGTTTAAGAGGAGCAGAAGTGACAGAGAGACAGCCAGCTAAATTGTATCTATCACAACCACGAGGCAATAGAATAAAGGCCCAAAATTTATTTTCAAAACAACAACATAAGCAAGATATTTGGAAATAAGGCAGTGAAAATATCACAGAGAGAGAGAGATTGACTTTTAGAGTCAGAATTCAATGCTTTTGATATTTTTAAAGCTATGGTCATATGCTACTTAAAAAAAATAAAGGCTAATTTTACAGGCTGTACATTTAAAAAGAATAACAGTTATATTCAAATTTTTAATTACATGTGGTTTTCTATTGTGAATTTTAAGGTCAAACTTTTTTTCTTAATTATGACACATTTCAAAACAAAAAACAACAAAAATACTATACCACACTGCTGTGCACTGTGTAACACATATTGTTTTACTTTCTCTTAAGCTTATTTATATTAAAGCATTCTCTCAGCTGGGCACCAGTGTCTCATACCTTTAATCCTAGCTACTTGGAAGACTGAGATCAGGAGGATTAAGGTTCCAGGGAAAACTCATGGAAAAAAAGCTGGGCGTGGTGGCATGGCCTGTCATCTGAGTGGAGGATGGTGAGCCAGGCCAGCCAAGGCAAACAATGAGGCCCTATCTCTAAGAAAACCAGAGCCAAAAGGGCTGGGGACACGGCTCAAGCAGTAGAGCTCCTGTCCAGCAGCTCAACGTCCTGAGTTCAAACCCCAGCTGCTAAATAAATAAATAAATAATAAATAAATAAATAGCACCCTCTCTCAAAGAAGAATAAAAGCAATATAGCTCTCAACTCCAGAAAGGAAAATCATGCGTTTTCCTCACAATATTAAAAAGTGTGTGTGTGTGTGTGTGTGTATCCTTACTCTTTACTCTTTATTTTTCATATGAAAGTACAGGTAAGCACAATAAATACTAAGCCCACCTATGTATTTACCAAAAGAAGCCAAACACATTAACACTTTGGCTTACAGTCTTCCAGACTTCTCTCTGTGCTTTACCCATCCCCTCAAACACACGTCTGTCTTATAAAAAGAAATTGCATTATATATTCTGCTTTCTGACTTGGGTGCTTTTTTTTTTCCATTAAAATATATACTGTGAAAGTTTTGGGGACAAATAAAAAAAGTTCTTTCAGAAAATTCCATTGTGTATATCTGCCAATCTCTATAAACACATGGTTTTTGAACACTGTCCTGTTGCTATTGCCTTGAGACCAATCCATAGAAGTGGAACTGGTACGTTCACTTGAAAGTCAGCTTCTACGTTAACACACGGCCCTAAAATAGCTGTACTGTTCTAAACTCCAACTCGCAACTGTACGAGCTTCATATTCCTTAAATCTTTGCAGATCCTGCACACATTTCCTTATCCCATATAAGGCATAAATAGTGCCTCATCATTTAAATTTGTGTTTCTTCCATTACTAGGGAAGTAAGACATGTTTTATGTTCAGCAGTCATGAGGGCTTCCATATTGTTTTATTAGCAGTCATGTCATTTTCACAGGGATTTATGAGACTTTTGTGCCTTCTAAGAACCTCATTTGTATATATTTCAAACATGTCCTTCCAGTCACTCACTCTGGAGAATGGACTGGAGAAAGGAAGGGCTGGGGGCAGAGGGGACAGTTACATGGTCCCTGTGATGGTCTTGATGACACATGGATGGACCAAGATAAGGGAAACACTTGGGGAAGGAGGAAAAAGAAGGGGGAAAGATCTACACAGCAGGGTGTGTCTGAAGGAACCTACTAGAAGTCATGTCAATGTTTGTCTACGCTGATCTGTCCTTATTTTGTTTCTCTCACTGTTGTATCAATTTGAGAGTATTTTTAGGACTAAGAGCTATAGAAGACAGAACTATAAAATTGTCAGTAAATGATTTATAGGTGATGGCCTAGCTGTCAAACTCTTGACAAAAAGTTATACAATGTTATAACTTAATTGAGTTACAAAATAAAGAAGTTAAAAAGCTGTATGGAAAGGGATGTTGGCCTCCTACGTAAATGTAACTAAGTGTGCATCTATTAGGGGATCAATCTTACACGCCAGGTCATGGGAGGTACAATCAACCTGGCACGTCAATGGAGGGGCAAAGGGGGCACAGGTTGAAGAGGGCTCTCATCAGGTGCTCCCTTCTTCATACCACCTTCAGTTCTCATGATGACAATCGAACACATTCACAAATGACAAAGATGGGAACGCCAACCTGGAGCTCCCTCCTGCTCTTGAGCTCCAGCCCCTCTCCGTACATGATATATTTATTTTCTCTCTCTCACTCTCCCTCCCCACCCCAGATTGTCAGGGAGAATCAGATTACCTTAACTCTACCAAAAAGAAACAAAGCCCCACGACTGTTGGAGACCAGTGATAAAGAAGCCAGGCGTGGGGATGCACACCTGTAATCCCAACACTCAGGAGGTGGAGGCAGGAAGATTATGAGTTCAAAGCCAGGCAGGGCTACAGATTAAGATCCTGTCTCAAAAAACAACAAAGAAGAAGCCTAACCCGGGGAGACCCTCATATCTCTGACCCCCAAACAAAAAGGGTCTCTCTATAAGTCCCCATTGCCCTTTGAAGGGTTTGAGGATCAACACCTTTCTTTTGGATACAAGATGCTCTCTATAGAGGCCGGAAGGTATCAGCAAACTAAAATACCTAAAAAGTACAAATTTTAAAGATGCACTTATTTACAGGTGACAGCCTAGCTAAAGCACAGAAGTGCAAAGAATGAAGCTTGATTATATTCAGCCATTGTTCTCTCCATGTAGACAAGACGAAAACCACAGTAAAATACGTAGTGTCCATAGGTTTCAGTTGGATAAATTAGTGACCAATGCACTGATAAAATGGTGGCAGAGTCAGCTTGGTAGGCTGTAGAATCTGCCAGTAAGAAAAGATCTATTAAGGCTGGAGGAGTGGCTCAAGTGATAGAGTCTGCCTAGCGAGCGGGAGGCCCTGAGTTCAAACCCCAGAAGCAAACAACAACAATAAAGATCAATTAGAAAAGCATAGCACTTTTTAAGGGTTAATGATAGGAGAGAGACCATCAGAAAATACATAGAACACTGAAATAGAAATGAGTAAAAACAGAAATCAAAAGGCTGGATGAGAAAGATGACAGTGCACTCCTGTCATCTCAGCTACTCAGGGAATCACGAATAGGAGGATTGCAGTCCAGGCCAGCTGGAACGTTAAAGCAAGACCCTATCTCAAAACTAACCAACACAGAAAGGGCTGTGGCTCAAACAGTATAGCACCTGCCTAGCAAGCGGGAGGTCCTGAGTTCAAACCCAAGGACTGCTTAAAAAAAGAAATCTCTACCATTAACAGAGCAGATCACCTAGCTGGGAAAGAAAGATACAGACCATGAAGCAGGGAGCTGGGAGTTCAGGCTGGACCCAGGGGCTGTGTGCATTGTCCACAGTGTCTAGACCAGCACAGAGGACCAGGCTCAACAAAGGAAAAGCCCTGGTTTTAAGGACTCCTCCTAATTCTGAGTGGCTAAGCAAATTCATTGTAGTCTCAGCCTAGACCATGACTATGAGCTGTCTCATTCTGGTTATTGTTTTCTTTCATCTACCTCCTGAGCACTGAGAAATCACATATTCAAAAATCTCTAAATCAGGTCATGACAGAGCCTCTTAATAGCCAACCACCAGAAAATTCTTATAGACCTAAAAAAAAAAGTAACTTAGAATCTCTGTTTTCAATCTTGTACTACTGTTTTAAAGGCAGCCTCTAGAATAGTATAGCCTTTCACACTTTATGTACAAACTAAATAAATCCAGAATGTCCATGGGCTTCTACCCCGACACTGGCATGGACATTGAGGCACACTAAAATCCTTATAGCATTCCTGACAATTTAGATCCCACCAGCTCTTCTGTGAGTCCCGCTGGTGCTGGACCTGGGGCTGACACCAGGTGGAAGAGCTGCTTGCACAAAGCAGCACGTGCCTGTAAAGTGGTCCAAAGCCACAAGTTCACTGGGTAAAACACTGACCACGCCATCATCCTGACATCTCTGAATTCCTTCATTTCAGTACTCTAGTTACAGAAATGAGAATACTTCTGAACAGCTAAAGCTAAAATAATCATTTGATTGAATGTGATGGTATCCACCAAATTTACATGTTTGTGCCCCTCCCTGCCCCCACCAAGAATTCTTATGTCAAAACATTAGCCCACAAGGTGATGGTACTAAGAGGGGGGGTCTCTGAGAGGTAATTAGATCATGAGTCAGAGCCCCCATAAATGGAATTAGTGTCCTTATACACAATGGAATTTTATGCAGCCATGAAGAAGAATGAAATGTTATCATTCGCTGGTAAATGGATGGAGTTGGAGAACATCATTCTGAGTGAGGTTA